TAACATCCAGTCCAGTGAAGTGGAAAAGAGGGACAAGAACAACCAAAGTACAACACTGCATTTTTGACAGATTTTAGAGGATTACGGCTTAAGAAGTCCTTGTTTGGAGTGCGTCCAGCAGCACAGAACAGTGTATCGAGGACCAGAGAGTGAGTCTTTTGGCATGTCGCCATTGTTTAGGTGCTGCATATAACAGTATATTTACACACCCCTTTGTGTCAGCACTGTGTCATTTCCTCTGTTTATCTACTCAAGCGTCTGTGCTCCCGCTGCTCTCATGTCACGGTTGCTGAAATCAAGCCATTCCTCCTCACAGGCACAAATTACAAGTCCATTAATTTACTATCTCACTCACTGCACCAACTCTCCACTGACTCTGAACTCCGCAACCCTGATTGGCAATTAATTTTTAAAGGGTGTACATGGCTCACGGTCCTCTGGTTTGAGGTACTGTGTTAACCATCTATAGGAATTGGAAGGAGAGAAATTCTGTGTTCTCTCCGTCTGTGCTACTGTACTAGTACAACTGTCTACCACTCCTTTGCTGATGGGGGTTTAATCCCAAAGCACTCTCTTTCACATCAGATCTGATGTGACTCCACTGCACAGTGCTCGCATGTTAAGCTTCTTTTTCATCCTCTCCTCAATAGGATTTTCAGAAAATTTGGGACAGACACATCTATTTATCTGTCCTCATTTTTTTTTCTCATGGTGTGTTTTTGAGGATTTTATTCACAGCCTCTGTCTTGATTTTAGTGGATTTTTGAGCAGTTAGTTATGCCAAGACTTTTTAAGACCATCATTTTCGATTCAACATTTATTTACACTCATTGGTTAGGTCAGCACACCTTTCCTTTAGGCTTTCTGGTGAACTGCACTGCATCTTAAAAAGGCCTCACCTCCAGCTGGGCTGTGCTTTATGTCAATGTGAGGATAACTCTTGAAAGGCTGGCTGTTTTTGGAAGAGCTTGGGCAAGATGAGAAATCCCTCCGAAGATTGATTCTCATGTGAGCTGAACAGATTTCTTGCCGCATTCTTCACGAAAAGTGTATTTCTTTTTATATATGTACAAACTACTGGCCAGATTGCAGTGAAATGTGTTACTGACATTAATAATTATTAGAAGACGAACCCTCTGTGTTTTAGGAGATTCCCTCAGCTTTCCTCTGGAAAAAAGATTGGATAGGAACCTCATCTCCCTGTTCTTTATTTTGGAATCTATACTATTTCCACACATCCAGTTTAACTGTTTTTTGTAGATTATACAACAGGCAAGCCAAGCCTACAGCCATTGTGACAGGATTAGGATTTTGGAATGAATGGAAAGATGTTGGCTTCCCCTTGGCCCCTTGTTCAACATAAATCAGGAACTTTACGAATGGAAGTTCACCACAATACATTTACTGTGATAGGGGATTATATCATATATTGTCCCATCCCTAGTTATAACTATTTTAGTTAGAGCAGCAGAGCACAGCAGTGATGCAGTGAAAGTGAAACCCTACCTTCTATTGTTCTGTGCACATTACAATGCATATTTTATCCCATGAAATCAGTAAACCTGTCTGCTTAGATATTGGCTATTACAGTGTAATGACATTGATATTATATTATGTACATTATATATTCTGTTAATGCTGCTTACCAGGAGTTGCCTAAAGGCATAATGTGATGTGTTCCATGTTCTAGCGCCTCCAAACATCACCTCTCTGATGTTACTGATGAGTAATACACCTTGATGCCAGTACACTGTGAGGATTTTTAACAGTGAGTATTCCAGAAGTCTAGAACTCTTTCACTGCACTGATGATGATCTCTGCAATACTGATAGACAACTCTAGAGAATATACAGAATTCACCATAATCTGAAATAAAATTAAAATCAGGAGAGCATGAGACAGCTATCATCTTGCTTCTCCTCCTCCTTGCAGCCGCCTCTTACCTCTCCCATCATCCCACCGCATCATTATCAGTCTTTGCATCTATCTCCAAAGCCCCTGCAAACCCTGCGCAGACAATGGGCTCCTCTCTTCGCTGTCGAAGCCTTTCATGAGCCTGCTATGTAAATCAGAGTCAGACCTTTTTTTACCGGGCTGATTTCACAGGAATGGCGCGGAGCCGCTCGCTGGCTAGCTAGTCAGAGGGCATTTGTTCCAGCGAGGTTTCATGTAAAATGCAACAAGGCATGAGGTACAAAGACAGAGGAGTCAGACCTGTGGTGCGTGTCTGCCAGACAAGCCCCGGCAACAAGAGAAGAGAGTGCTGTGAAAAATTTAACCACCCGCTGCTCCATAGAGAAGGACTGGTGGAGACAGAGCAAATTAGCCAACCACCTTCCCAGTGGGAAAGATGGGAGCGTGGCCTTGATTGAACTTGAGTGGTCTTTGTGTTAGATGAATTATGGAGGCAGAGTAGTTTTTTACTTTGCAAGTATCATGCGGTGGGGTTTTATCAAAGTTTTATTTGTGTACGGCGAAGCTCTCCGAATTCACTCTGAAGCCGTTCTGCTGTTGCAAGGCAAGCAAGGCCCTTTGGGGGAGGACAAGACAGAACATTGCTTTAGGATAAATGTTTTGATCATGACAGGGTTGCACTTCAGGGCTGTGTGCAGGACACAACTGTGTTTGACTAAGGGCATATAGTGCTAACAGAAAACAATGTAACATTTTCTAATTTGTTATGAGAGTGGGGAAAAAAATCCCAGAAGTCCTAATTTATTGTGTGAGTATGTTGTATGTGAGGCACTAAATGATGCAAAAGACTGAAGCTTTTTGATGAGGAGCACAATCAAAGCTGGAGTACCCTGCAGTTACAGTTTGATAAAATGTTATACATCTGATGTTTATCCCTCTTACAGTACACTGGAATTTTCTTTGCATCTTTTTGCAACATCGAATCCATGTTATTGCCCCAGCTGATGACCTTGTGAATAAAAACAACACCTGTCACTTTGCATCATATGTTGTGCAGATTCATTGTTATGCCTCCTGCCATTGATGGTCACCAGTCCAGATGAGCGGATTGATGTCCAATATATAGCTGGTCAGACTGTCAGCTGTGATTTGAAGTCAGAATGTATAGCATCTGTGTCTCTTATTGGCTGTTGTTTCTGATAAACAGAACGTAGAAGTTTACAAATTTAATATGTGGCAATAGTTTGCACGAGCAGATTTTAGTTCAATTCACTTATCACGTATTTTACATACGTGTGTGCAGTTCAAAACTTTTTTTGTAACATCATACTCAAGGAAGTAATTGAGATTTAAGAACATTGTGACTTTGTTAGCCAATGGTCTGGCGAGGCAGGAAACCTGCAATCAGGTGATCAGACAGGTGGTAAACAAGTCAACAGATTATAAACTAAACCACTGAAGGGAAAATTAAAACTGAGAACACCTCAAGTATCAGTAATACTCGTCATTACACAAGACAACTATCACTGATAACTGAGGTAAGTTGAAGCAGGAAGTGGGTCTGTAAACTGTGATTGATATTAACAATGCACAGTTTAAGTTATAATTCAGTGTTCGCCATAGTTTCCTCTACTGAATAAGCTGCCCTGGCTGACTTCTTTTTTCAGCAATGGATCTGTGTTCCCAGATCACAGCAAGTCACTTTATCAGTTATTATTACAGATAATGATGGCCAAGTTGTAATGAATTTTACACAATTGCCAGCCCTCTCTGTTAATTCCATTTTTAAGAGTGGATAAATACAAGTTCTTGTTGATGCTTTACTCTTGCCAGAAATGACTTTACTGCAATTTCCCATTACCTTAATGTTGCATCCCTTTTGCCTTAGACATTCTCCCTAAAATGCCACCATAGCCCAGAGTAAGCTAAGATAAGGCCTTAGTTAACCATGCTAATTTACCATGCTAATTCCACACCACTCCTGAGTATGGTGAGGAAATTAGCAAAGCAAATTTACAGTTCAAATATTATGCCCCATCAGTGAGTAAAGCTGTTCTGGAGTTTTCAGACACATCACGGCTCACGACAGGAATATTATTCTGCTGTAATAGTTTGCAGATAATTGCAGCTGCAAATTGAATTGAATTAGTCAAACTGAATGAATCTGAAGTCCTTACAAAGCCTCAGATGTATGGTAAGTGAAGTGAACATGCTGAGTCAAAGCTTTCCAGTTCAAGTGCTGCAAACTGGCCTGACTGGATGAAGTCATAGTGTGTGTCCCAGAGAATACAATGAATTGAATTTTGGACTGATGAAGTCCCCATTCAACACAGAATACTGATGACAGAAGTTATAGTACAGCATACTCAAAACAACAGTCCCATGTACACCAGTCAGCCATGACATTATGACCACCTGGGCACCCTGACTGCTCTGCAGTTACCAAGTGTGAACTTATCGTGACATCACCCATTGGTTTGGGGGGTACTGTTTTGAAGCCTTGATAACCAGATAATCAGTGTTATTCACTTCACCTGTCAGTGGTCGTAATGTTATGGCTAATTGGTGTATCTTCT